ATTCAAATCTTTTAATAACGCATCGAGCGCATTCATCCATTCGTCAACAACCAGATCTTTCTTAAAAGCAACTTTCGTGTGCTTGCTGTCCAACAACAATCTGAAGTTTTCCAAACTCGTGTCATCTCTTAAAGCCTGTAGAAGACATTGTACTTTGTCATGGTCGTCAAGAATATTGTCAAACGACTTTACGGTATTAATTTCCGTACTGCTTAGCACGTCTTCAACCAATTTCAGACGTCTTTGTGCCTCTAATGCGTCATTGAACAAGTCACGATGATCATCATTTAGAGCGGTTTTCAGCAAAAATGTGTCTTCATCTGTGAGCAACAATTGTAGCTGTTGGATGATTTCTTTTTGTTCATCTTCCATTGACTGACCGGATATTTTCAGAAACGATTCAAAATTCTCCAGATCATTTGCACTTCCCACATTGTTTAGGAAATATTCCACCAATATCTTGTCCTGAATCATTTTTTGAAGCGATTCCACGCGTGCTTCTTTGCGCAAAAGCTGCTTGAAAGATTTCACCAATTTCACATCGATCAACTTTTCATTAAATTCAGCAATTCGACGATATGTCGTCAAAGCCCCCCTTACGTAATTCGTGTTATCCTCAGATTGTAATGCAGCTTTGAACAAACGAGTGTGATCATCGCCAATTTGCAACCATTCATGTTGGTCATCTTTAGTGGCACCAACTTTCGATAACTCTTTCAAATATCCCTGAAGGGTTGCTAAATGTTCAGATTCGAGCACACGTAGATAGGTTGACAAGTAATTCTTGACCGCAGAGTTCATAAATTCGAAACTTCTTGCTTCATGCTCTATGTAGTTGAAACGGGCAAAAGCAGCAAAATTAAACCAAAACTTGCGTTCGGAGAGTTGAATGTCATAATGATAATACAAACGAAAATCCGGAAAATTGTCAGAAGTCAATGAATGTAATCGATACGCTAGCACGAGTGTCTTCTTATGACGTGATAAACCATTTACGAGAGGAAAGATATTAACGAAGCTGGAAGAAGGAACTCGATTAGCCTTTGAAGATGGGATCTGATAAGTTTCAAGCCAAGTTATCAAAGTACCTTCTTTACGATATTCAGTTAGAAGTCGAGCGACATCAGTTGCGATTATCTCCATATCAAACGGCACCTTTTGATATAGTGCCAAGGCGTACGATAACAGTGGAACGTGTAGCTCACGTTGAAAGAATTCATCAAGTGATCCATCTTTTGTCTCCTTCATCAAAATTGAGAATAGTGCTGATAACTTGGTTTCAGAATTGAGGAGCCTTTGCACCGTCAACTCGCTTGTCGCTCCGTCTTTTAGCAACTTAGAAACCTTCACTTCGGCAAATAATGCCGATGTTCCATCATCTGACTCGAAAAGCTTCTTAACTTGGTGTGACACTTTTTCATTTTGCTTTCTTTTCCGGGGACTTATCTTCATTAGGTTTGAAGCAGTTTCTACACGCCATTCGACGGGCCTTTCTTTAGCGAACCATTTGGCGAATAAAGATCCCTTTCCAAATAAAGGAGATATCCGTACTTCCCCGATAGTTTCATCAATGACTTGCTTACTATCATTGCTCCTCTCTAACTCCCCGTTAGCAACGCTCGGGGTAGTATTTGCAGAAAGCATCGAATCATTCAAGTGCCCGACGAACACGACTTGGTCTTCATCATGAATAATACTCGAATTAGTCGTGGAGGATACACTGAACTCAAGCAGTAATAAAGTCGAAAGGACCGGCACGAACATCGTCAGGAATATTGGGAAATGATACGCAAAGACCCAAGCAACAAAAGACTGGTCAGAAAGGCGTAGCCTTATGATGTGTCTATTGAGTGGTAAAGGCGAGAGCGAGAGGGTTTGCTGAAGCGCAGGGAGAGTCGTCGAAGCCGAGTGAACCGGAGCG